TTTGCAAAAGTCACAGCATGGCACAAACTCTAGATCATTCACAGGGGAAGACGTAGAATCCAAATAAGATTTTAAAAAATAAAAATCATAAACATCTTCTTCTCATAATAGAATTAGTTTTGGTTTTTTTATGTGCAAGCTTAATTTTTATTATTTTCTTGATGGAAATTTTTCAAGAGTCTTTAAGCCTAGACACTGAATTTTAATTAAAGTTTCAAGTATTGATTTGCCATAGGAGTAAAAGAGTTTCTCAGTAATTAAATTCCAAAATGAAAGGTCATGTCTGTCATTGACTCATTACAGTTCTCTAAGAAATTCACATTAACTTCTTCCTTAAGTAGAGATTTCTTAAGAATGTCACTACTCACTTCCTAGATATATTTCTCTATAGAGCAAGCTGTGCATGATTCATTGAGGCATGATTAACACAAGTAACTCATTTTACAGAAGTGGTCTCATGATGTCTTATCTAAAATTCCCCTAGTCATTTATGTACTCTTTTTTATAATCTTTCAAAAAGTGACAACTGAGGGTCCACAAGATGTAAGTTGCTACAGCTCTTATTTCCTGTATTATTCTCAGTAAAATGTAGTGATTCTTTCCTGAAAACTGTGTTGGCATTGCAATTCCAGAATTGAGCAAGTTAGGTGAACCACAGAAACTTTCCTGAAGACTCATCCAGCAGAGCCTATTCTAATCTTGGAAAATTTGAATTAAAAAGGGGAATTGGGGAGGAAGAACAGTTGTATCCAGGGAGCAGGAACAGACTACCTGTTTGTTTGTTCATTGATTAAGTATACAAGTATCTTTCAGCTAGGACAAAGGACTGTAAGATGGATAGGTTTCATCAATTTCAAAGGAAACAAAAATATTTCATATTCTATAATTCTCTTGATATCTTTAAGAAATAAACTCAAACTTGCTATGCCTATCATTAAAATGAAATATATGCTATAGCTAAAATTTCTGATTTCATTTATTTTGAACAAGGACTTAACTTAAATTTAAGCTTAGTATTTAAGTTTTGAAACTAGTATATAAAGTACTTATCTGGAAGCTTCAGGTAATGGTGGTAACAGTTGCCAGGTAAAGACATCTATATGTTGGTGGGATAGAAGACAAATTCCTTCCAAATGTGAAAGAGCTCTTAGCTCCACAGACACATAGCATTCCACCATTTCAGCTAAGAAAGTAGAACATCTAGTAGATTCACACAGTTAGAAAGCTAAGCAATGTCATGATAAATTATTGAAATGACATTATATAGGGTGTTTTATACTGCTTTGTATAACTTTCTTGGATAAAATATTATATAGTAATACAGATGAATTATGCAATTTACCAACCAATTTAGTTAAAACTCATCATAAATGAGGAGATCTAAGATAGAATATTCTTAAATTCAGGGCTTTGATTTTGTAGTTCACTTTAAATGAACAATAATAACTTCAAAGTGTATTTGTGATATTACAATAATACTGCTTGTCACTACACAAAACATCGTTCTGAATCCTAACGTTCTATTGGATCCTCTTTCTTCCATAACTTATGCATTTTTTTCTTTTGGTCAGAAGAAGAAAATAAGAATATAAAAAGAGCACCCTTTTGGGATACTGGTGTAGCTCAGTGGTAGAGTACTTACTTAGCACGTATAACGTCCTTGGTATCCATCCTCAGAGCCACAAAATTTTTAAAAAGGAATTAATTTTGAGTATTTTAGCTACAATTACAAATTCAGTTTTAATTTTAATATAATTTTTTTAAATTCACGAATAGAAATTATAAGATTATTACAAAAAGTAATTTTCTTTAGACACAATAATCATTTATCTATAGATGCTTATGAGAAAACAATATGAGAAATTTGCCTGCTGCTTTCTGTACTATAATTTTTATATAATATTATTTGCAGAGCCAATGAATAGTGTACTTCATTAATTATAGTTTTTAAGGTTTTTTATTATTTTTTAATTTATTTTAATTAGTTATACATGAGAGTAGAATGCATTTAAGCACTATGAATAGAAATGATACCAGACAAGAAGAAGTGTCAACCCAACCTTTAAATAACAATGCCGACTATTTTCTGAGAGTCTCAAAAACAATGTTAGACAGAAGTGGTTGTTTGACCCAACCACACTTAATTAACAAACATTGTTCTCCTACCTACACTAGTAGGCAACAATAGCAAAGTAGCAGTTTTCTAAACAAAATACAGACCTATTTGAAACCTGGGAAAGCAAATTCATATTTTTGCCAAGCTTTCAAAAAGGTAACAAAAATATAATGGTGATAAAAAGCATATTTTCAAGTTTCTAAATGAAAATCCAAGCTTGATTGTTAATCTCAAAAAAGTACTAATATAAACAGATGTATATATTCAACAATATAATTTTTATTGTAATAAAACCACAAAATTTTAGCATAAAATTTAAATATAGCAATTAATAGCACTGATGGGTAGAATTTTTATCAGAGAAAGTCCCAAGTAGAAGGTAACTTGTTATAATAAAATTTATGTTTGAAATATCAGTACCTGTGGACTTATTGACTCCAGAAGTAATGCATTATTGAAAAGGAACAAAATTAGTTCCAAATGGATGCAATATACTACTGTTAAAAGCAGCCATCATTAAGAATGGATACTTTATAGTCTTGGGCTAAAAACAGTGCTCAACCTCACAAATCTCCTACTTGACTTTTAATTACTTTTCATGCATTATGCTTTCTTCCTTTCTTCCACCCTCAACATATTCACACAAAAATCAATGATGTTATTGACCATTCTGAGAACTAATAATCTTTTAAGTAGGAACTGATTCATATGCAACTCATTTCTGAAAAAGCAATCAATTCTTGAATGAGTGCAGGTGTTTTCATGCCTCTTTTCCAAATTATTGGACAGTGGAATAAAATAGAAGGAAGAGAAATCTTCCCCAAAGCAACATTATATCTATGATTGCTGCATGCTTAACACAGTAATCCAATCAACAAATAACAATGACAAAAATTATTTTTTATATTTAAATAGCACTCAGTTAATATACTATATTTATTGCAATCATACTGTAAAATAGATATTATCCTCCACATTTAACAGATGAAGGAACTAAAGCTCAGGAAGTTTGGGAGAAGCTTTTCTGTTTCCAACACATAAAAAGATAAAATTTTAATTTTTGAAATATATTTTATTTTTAAATCTATGAATTGACTGTTACTTAAATTATTCAATCTAAATTATGCATTATTATTATTGTATTTAATTGTTTGTTCATCATCATCTATATGCTATGGTCTGTAGGTGACCAGTGCATCAGTGCTCAATTTCTTAATCAGTATTTTCAGCCTAACTAATTTTCAGATTAATAATTTGAAATTAATAATAAAAAATAATGTCTAAGAAAAGCATTTTCTTAAATATTTTAAATCATGTTTGTGCTGTTCTTGTTCAACTACATTCAAAGTAATTACAGTAAATACAGAGATTAATATATAAACGCAATTTGCTTATTTTTAAAAAGGGTATTAATACAACTTTTAAATAAAAAAATTCACCTCAAGTCCTATGTTAAAATACCTAAATAAAAATTTAAATTATTTAAATGGATTTTATAAACCTATCTCCAAAGAAATTAAGGATAGATCTTTTTTCCATTATCTTTTTCAGTCAAAATAAAAAAAGATTATAAGATCATAGCCCGAAAGGATACTTGTAATCATAACTTAAAATAAAGGTTCTACATTTAAGGAAGTTAAGCTTCAGGATATTTCAAAGGAAGCAAGTAGATTTGGCAACATTGTTTTTCCTAGGATTTATTCTTTCAAGACTCAACGGAAACCTGCCAACAATCTCCATATTGCAAAGTTTTGTGAAAGCCTAGTGGCTCAAAAGAAGGAAGCCACTTTAAAAATACCATTGTAGAAGCTCTGAACAATGCCCTGAATTAGAATTAAATTTAAATTGTTTCATTCAATTCCACACATTTCTTAGCTCTTTTTACCTGTCTTTCATAAAGGGTAATGGCAGACAATAAAACAAAAGACAATTGAAAGCCCAAACTACATCTCTTAACAATTTAAGGTAAAATCACCCAGGTCCATGATAGAATTCTTACTTTCAATTTAGAATATTTTCATTTAAAACGAACTAATTCTAGTCACATTACCATGACATTTATTATTCACAGCAAATCCTTTTAAACCCTAGAGTAACCTAGAGGCATTAGTTCTTTGGAAATTAATTTAAATCAATCTTTTCAATTTTTTCTATCTAAGCTTCTGGAAAACCTGTAACATTTTATTTAAGTATTTCATTACTTTTTTTCCTAATGTTTTAAATGGGTTGATCTATCTAAACCTAATGCAAAAGCATTTATATGCTAATACTGTTCATGTGAGCATTCAGCCTTTGCAAGTTAACTATTAAACATGTAGGATTATCATCACTGGTTAGTGCCAATGATAGATAATGGAAAAACAGCATACACTGTATAGTTTACAAAAGAAGTAATAAAAATATTCTTTGTTATTGCAGAAAGTTCACCTATGCCAGAACAGTAAATGTCAAACTTACTTAAGCGATATGCTGTCTAACTACACCCAGGACTGCTATTATGCTCAGGCACATCAAATCTATTAGGGAAATGATTCACCCTTTCAAAGATAGAGAATTGGCTCAGGGAGCTCCATGTCCATAAAATGAGGGATTCATTTTGGTTTTCCAGCCAACTACTTCAATATAGGTAAAGTAGTTGAGGTGTAGCAATTTAACCTCTAGAAGGAGCCCATAAACTTGGTCCCAAAATAAACTTAGAGTACTGTGACTAAGTAACTCTATTAGAGGTATCAGGAAGAGAATAAAGGGAGCATCCTGTTCCCATATCTAGGAAATGGAATTTTTCTCGATTTCTGGTATAAAATGAGACTCAATCCCTAAAAATATAGGTAAATAGATACATAGTCAGACAGACAGACAGATCAAGTCTTATCCAGATACTTACGCCACAATCCCTGAGAGATGGAACATTTCTGCTGTCAGGTAGGAGAGATAACTATATAAAAAGACAAAAAGGGGTTCAATGACCCGGATGGTCTTCGTAAAACGTGTGGTAAAGGCAGCAAACATTCCAAACAGGAACCCAATGAAAACTCCTCCTATTCCAACCAAAAAGAATTTTCCCATTGCAGCCAAAATATCCACGAGTTTGATAGATGGCATTTCATTGAAAGACTTGAACAGCTTATATAGTACCTGCATAAGAAAGATTACAGCAAATCTATCAATTAAAAAAATCCCAAATTCTACCCTATCTGTCCTTCTAACTTGTGAGTTACTCAACTTTGAAGTTCTATAACTCCTAATGCCACTGAACATAAGTCATTAGCAGGCTTACCCATATCAATATTTCTACAGATCACAGATCACCATCCAACTATACATGATTATGTTTGAAATTTTTCTGATGTTCTGTGAAGACAGCTTTCATGGCTAAGATTTTCTTAGTTGGCATGACTAAAAGGATCATGGCCTGCAGAAGATTTATCTCACTTTTCAACTAGTAAACTAATAGAAGATAAATACAGGGTCAAGGAAGTCTTGTCACTTTCTAAAGCATATTTGTGACTGTTAAAGCATATTCTTTAAATTTGTAGACTTACTTCTAGAATTAACTTTCTCAATTATGGCCTAAATTAGGACTTAATTCTAAATTTCAGGGGTGATCTTAAGGGAACTTAATTCATTGCCCAGAAATTCCATGCCTAAAATACTTACAACAGTAACAGCATCATTTAGGAGGGATTCTCCAAATACCAAAATATGAAGTTTCTCATTCACGTGTATTTCTTCAAATACAGAGAGAACAGCTACAGGATCTACAGCAGCAATCAAACTACCAAACCAAAGATTATGAAGCAATGACACATCTTGAAGGTTGAAGTACTTCACCTGACATAGGCCATAGAGAGAAAGACCAATTCCAAATGCATTCCACATGGTTCCAACTACAGCATACAAGAGAATGGTTCCTATGTTCTCAAAAAAGGGCCGACTGGGCATAAAATACCCTGCCTCAAGGACTATTGGTGGGAGTAAGTACAGAAAAAATATATCACTGTCCATTATTGGTGGGGATTGATCATTTAAACTATAAATTAGTCCTCCCATGATGAGACCTACGAATATCAAGAGGCAGCTTTCCGGTACAACAGTGGGCATTTTATTATAGACGTGAAATCCTGGAAAAGAGAGAAAAGATACGAGTATTACAACATCATTATCAATCACCCCCATATGTCCAACGTCCTTCTAGTCAAGCCTCATGATTTCAGGAAAATAGCTTCTTAGTCATTTCACATTTTTCATTTTAATAATGTCTAAAAGGTGCAGATGCATGGACAAAGACATTTATCTCTATAAAGGAAAAATATTTGCTAGTAGAATAATGGCATTCACAGTTAAAAAGAGGACAATAATTCATATGTCTACCAGATCATTTTCAAATGTAGATGCATATTTTAAAATACACACAAAACGTGTTACCAGCTAGATATGTTCTTCTATTCTTCTCACAATCACAGTGATATACATCAAATTATATATAGTTGAGAACCATAATTTTAAAAATTTGTTAATTGATTAAAAGTAATCTGTTATTTCCATTATGCCATGCTGTTTCCCTATACAGAATGATTTTTTTCTTCTTTATATTGAAATAATTTGAAAGTTCCTCAGAGTACAAATGAAGTCTTAGTTCTACAGCCCATGGACCCACACATAAAATATGCTCAGAAAATATTTGCTGAATTAATTAATTAATGCTAACAATGGAGATTTTTGTTTACTAAACTTATGCCCAAATTATTTTCCTGAAATGGTGCAATACAATCCTATTCAAACAACTGTAGATGGGTTACATAACAGAGAACTAGGAGCTGATTTTTCTAAAAGCACTGACTTGTCATTTGGGACTGCAAATGCCCAGTGGGTAGCTAAAAGCAGAATAATGCTTGACATTTCTGCCTTCATTTTGTACCTGTCTTCAGATTCCTGATGGGCTCTGCACATAGTCATGTTAATCATTTAAAGAGGGCTCATCTAAACATTGGTAACACATGGTTTATCAGCCCTAAGTTTACATATCCTACTTCAACCCCTTTTAAGACTGAGGATACCAAGGTAAAAGGTATTTTCAAGATTTGCAGGCACATTCCACTGTCAGCTTTGCAGATCACTGGATTGGCACCTAGAAGTCTTCAGTCATTGCCCTACATCTTCTAAGAAGATCACAACCTTGCAAATAGCTCACCACATGATGAGACTGCACCCCTAAACAAGAGCAATCATCTCATGGGAGCCAAATTTCCCTCATCCAGGATCACATGTATCATAGGTAAACATTTTGAGAATCAAATGGAGATCGCCACCTCAGGTAATAAGTACTTCATCAGAGCAACCTCATAGAACTATAATAATCAGACCACAGTTTAACCAAGACTGCTTAATTATACATATCTTTCATCTCCACCTGACTCAATTCTACTTCTATTTAAAGCTAAAGTTCATGTAAGTATTCCTCAGTCTTTAAAAGGGATGAAGTAGGATAGGTAAACTTAGGGCTGATAAACCATGTATTACCAATGTTTAGATGAGCCCTCTTTAAATGATTAACATGACTATGTGCAGAGCCCATCAGGAATCTGAAGACAGGTACAAAATGAAGGCAGAAATGTCAAGCATTATTCTGCTTTTAGCTGCCCACTGGGCATTTGCAGTCCCAAATGACAAGTCAGTGCTTTTAGAAAAATCAGCTCCTAGTTCTCTGTTATGTAACCCATCTACAGTTGTTTGAATAGGATTGTATTGCACCATTGCAGAAAAATAATTTTGCCAAATGTTTACTTACATGAAAACTTACATAAAATCCTTAATCTCACTTTGCCATCCTGATATAGCTATACTGATTGAAGTTCCTTTCCCACTTTTCACTACTAGTTTATCCATTTGATTTGGGGGGCAAAGGATGAGACCTGATTCATTGGACCCCCAGAGTCAGACATTCAGTTTTAGGTAGTAACATTTGCCCTCTTGTCCTCACATTAATATTTACTTATACATTTTTGCTATCAGTATATCTAGTACTGAAAAATATAAAATATAAAAGACCTTAACTATACACATATGAAAATTATTGTCACCCAAGATAATGAGTATTTCTGATCAAGAAGGCAGCAGATGAGCATTCTAGTTCTGCTCCATAAACATGGCAAATTATCTTTTCTCTCTAGCCTTCAGATATACTATCTATAAAAGAGAATGGATGAAAAAATGGGGCTGGGATAAGAATGACTTCTGAGGTTTTTCCTAGCTTGGGCAATCTATCATGCTATGAGTCTTTGGATCTTGTATATATCATAATCAGTCAATATATTTTGTTAATACTGAAACTACGTTTATAAAGTAATTTAAACATTGTAATGCTAAACATGATTTATTTGGGAACTAATAAACTTGTTTTAAAATAACAAAATTCTGTAGGATGCCATATTTGCCTGGCATTGTTTTTGGTTCTGAGCCTATAAAAAAGTAATAGTTAATAATAAACACTTTGAACTTTTAAAGGGCTCATAATTTTAACATTACCAAGGTAAAAGCCAGATATATTATAAAAGAACATAAAAGAAATAACTGAAATCCACTTAGGAAGTTTATAATACTAGTAATTCAGGGTGTTCCTATAGTTTAAATATGTTAAAAAATTTTTCTGTTCTATTTGCTAGGCTTCTCTTTTGTGATCACCCCCTAAAATGCTAAATGGGGGTAAAAAGGAATTTCTTTTTAAAAAGGAGATAATCTACCTGGAAAATATAACAAGCTTCCTATGAGGGGGGAAAAGGGATACATAAAGACTGAGGCCAGTTACTGTCTAGAATCAAACTAATAACATTCACCTGTTCTTCTTTTAGTGTTATACCATCTCCACATATCCCTGGAACAACTGCAACCCTTTTCATTCTATACCAGGCTGGGCTTATTCCCACCTTCAGCTTGGAGACCACCACCATAATATGGATATAATCACTTTCAAGTGGGGATTTATCTATAAATAAAAGATCATTCTGGAAGGCAGCAGGAGGCAAATGTTCCAGCTTGCTTTCTCCAGTATTTCAAGCAAAGAGCACCTTTCTTACCATCCAGAAAAGCCCAAAGAGTTCCTATCAGAAAACTTTATGGGAGAGCCTTAGGCAGTCCTTCACTTACCTATCTTTGCCAGAGAGGCTAACATAATCCAAAGTGTGATCTCAAAAGGGACCTGCACATGCTGGTAATCCAGGGAGAAGAGGAGTGTGTGAGCCGACACCACTGAGTCATTATCCTGTGTTTCTTCTGGCTCCCAGCTGCCATTGTCTGTCTGCGGGTCCAGGTGGTGCTGCATACTATTCCCGAAGGTTCCTAGAAGCTGGGAGCAGAGCTGCCCCAGCAGCAGATGCAAGAGCCCTAGCCCACAGGCCATCAACAGCTCTGCGAGCTATGCTTGCTAAAGCAGTTTAATATTATCTCCAGCCTCTTCGTCTCTCAAATGTGGTTTGCTGTCTCTAACCCTTAGACCCACTGCCTAGCACTTAGTAGATCAGTGAACACTCCAGCAGCTCCCTGGAGTCCCTGCAGATAAATGATAGGTTGCAATACCCTGGAATGAGATTAGAGCCAGGAGGAGCCTGCAAAGGGAGGGTGCTGGGGGAAATGATTGATTGACATGGAAAAAAAAATTAACCTCAGTCCTAACTCTCAACTAAGGGAAACCCCTGAAAACTAGATTCTAGCCACTTAAAAATTTATTTTCTTACCATGAGATTTCTTTATTCCCTGTAGATCTGTAAAAAGTATTCAAGTGGAACTCCTATACCTCTTGAGGTCTATCAAGGTGTCTGCACACAAGAAAACTAACTAGCATGCTTTGGGCAGGAAAAACCTAAAAGTAGCTTAGTTTGCTTTAACAGAGAGAGTGGAAGGATTGAAAAACATTAATCAGCTGCTCCTAAAAATTCTAGGAAAAATAATTTTCATTATTCTGAGTATATGGCAATGTACTTAAGAACAGGGCAAAGAATATTATTTTACTATAATTCCTGTAATCCATGTGATGTCTTTTGATAGAGATTTCAAAGCCAAGAAATTTGTGCTCCCACTTTCAACTCATGGGAATTATGCTCCTTTAATTTCCTTGTCAAATTATTCAGTTTTCATTATGACAAACATGAACTGGTTTCATGAATATAAAATTTAGTGATATTTAATCAGTGAGGCTGACCTCTTGAATAGTTGCAAATCTGTATTATCATGACCTTTCCATTTTTCCCAGATTTATTGAGGTTTAGCTGAAAAATAAAAATCATATATATTCAAGGTATATACTACATGATGTTTTGATATTTATACATTGTGAAATGATTTCCATAATCAAGCTAATTAACATATCCAGACACATACATGCATACACTTATGTACTATGGCATGATAACAGAGATAATGGATTTTGCTTACTACTATTCCAACTTTTACTAAATATTTGTATTTATTTTACATTACTATAACTGTATCTTTAGCTTCTAAACTTAAACCGAATGTTTTGCTTAATGTAAGGATATTTGAAATAAAGCAATGCTTTCTGGAGGTACTCAATGAAAAAAAAAAAACAGGAATTTGTGATGGATATTTTATTTTACTGTAATTCCTGAAAGTTATGTGTGTGCTTTGAGCATTATGACAATATAAATATATGTGATACCAGGAAATTTATGCTTTCTTATTTTCTGCATGATCAGAACACTGCTAAATTACATGGTAAATATGGGGAAGTATTTTCCTAATTTTTTTTATTTTTAATAAACATAAAATTTACCTTCATCAAGAAAGCTAAAGATGCAGACAGAGAGATAAGGAAGAGGAGGGTAGAAAAGAGGAAAGAAAAAAGGATGGAAGGAAAAAAGGAGGAAGGGAGAAATATCCAAAGTAAGTAAATAAATATTCCATAAAATAAATGCCTTAGTGTTAACAACATGCTTGACTATTCACAGAGAACATGGGTAATTAAAATATGGGAGCCTTAGGCTATTACATAAATCAATGACCCAATTTTTTCTTAGCTGCCTAAATACCATCCAGCCTAACAGCTAATGATAAATCAATGACCCATTTTTCATCAAAGAGGGGAAAATTTGGAGACAAAGACTCACCAATGCATATGGTTTTGATTTGTCCACAGGAAGTCTTTATTGAAAAGTAGTTTAGTTTTTAAAAGTGAGGCATTTTTTTCAAACCTAAGAACTTAGTATTATATTCTCTATAAACTTTTCAATTTGCAATTTCACTTACCATCAACCCATACCGAACATTGAGCTATTCACTTTAGTTTTAGAACAGACCGCTAATTTGAAACTGACCACTATTCTAAGTAATTATATTCTAAGATTCCATTAGGCCAAATTCTGGAGTAATCACATCAGGCATGGAATATTCAATATTTATGTACCTTTTTATCTAGGTCTAGCCTTTTATGCCAGAATCATATAATGTTATCCTTTTAGGATCTGTGGAAAGTCATCCATGCATGATTAGAAAAATATCTTTCCATTCCTTGTTTTTATAGATGTATAACTTACATTTAATGAATATATAGTTTTACATTGCTCAGTTTGATGAGTTTTTGACAATTAATATGAACCTTTATTTGCTACCACCCAAAAGTAAATATAGAACCTTTCTCTCATACTTCTTTTAAACTATTCCTCACTAACCCCCAGGCAACTACTGTTTTGATTGTGTGCAACATAGATTGTTTTTTTTTTCCAATTCATGAACTTCATATAAATTGAATCATACAGTATGCACTCCTTTGTGTCTAGCTTCTTTTATTCAGCACACTACCTATAGAAATTATCCATATTTTTATGTGTACCACTAGTTTGATCCTTTATGGCTGAGATGGATTCCATTATGGACATATGCAACAATTTGTTCTTACATTCTCAAAATGATGGATATTTCAGTTGTTACTAGTTTGAGGTGATTCTTTAAAAGGATGCTATGAACATTGTTGAATATAATGTGTATGCTTGCATTATTTCATTTTTACAATTTTTATGCTTTATTGAGATAAAATTTATATGACAAAATTGCACACACTTAATGTATGTATTTTGATGAATATGCATATATGTGTATATCCATGATAACATCACCACAATCAAGGTACTGAGATTACCCATCACTTTGAAATTTTTTCTTATATTCTTTGGATGTGTGTGTTTATATTTGTGTATGTGTTTGCATTTGTGTGTGTGTGTATGCGCATGGTGACAACAATTAACATGGAAAGCACTGTATTAAGATACTTATTAGAGAACAATATCATATTGTTAATTTTATGTCATACATTGTAGAGCAGATCTCTATAATCTTATATAACTGACACATACCTGTTGAGCAACAACTCAACATAATCTTCTTGCCCAAATGCCTAGAATCATCATTCAATTTTTTGCTTTTACATCTACTTTAAATACCATTTAGAAGTAATATAATGAAATATTTGGTCTTTGTTACAAAATTATTTTATTTAGCATAATGTCTTCTGGAGGCACCCATGTAATGACAAGTGATATTATTTGATGAAAAATAATATTCCATTGTACATATATATCACATTTTCTTTTGATATAATTATAATTAACACATTATTTGTACCAACTAATGGGTTTTACTGTGCCATTTCCATATGTGCGCGTATTGAGTTTTGATCATATCCACCATCTTTTCTTCTATACTGTCTTCCTCTCCTCCCTTTGTCCTCACCCTCAAGCACCCTTCCAACCTTTAATAATTCTTCATCTACTTTCAGTTCATCCTTTTGTTTTGCTTTGATTTTATTTTCTACATGTGAAAGAAACCATGTGATTTCTTTGCTTTGCTGAACATGAGACTTCCACTTAGATCCAGTTTCCAGCAAATAACAGAGTTTCATTTTTCTGATGAGCGAAGCACTATTGTGTATATATACCATATTTTCTTTATCCACTGTCTGTGAGCACTGATTGCTGATTCCATACCTTGACTACTGTGAATATTGTGGCAATAAATACAGGCATGCAAGTATCTCTTTTGTATGCCTACTTCATTTCCTTTAGATATATACCATGGTGTCATATAGTTAGATCACAGATTTGTTCCACTTTTAATTTTTAAGAACTTCCATACTATTTTTTATTTTTTGCAATTATCTTTTAATTTTTTATTGATTTAAAAAAATAAATGACAGTGGAATGCATTACAATTCTTATTACACATATACAGCACATTTTTTCATATCTCTGGTTATATATAAAGTATGTTGACACAAATTCATGTCTTCATACATGTACCTTCGATAATGATGTCTATCACATTCCACCATCCTTGCTAACCCCTGCCCCAACCTTTTCCCTCCCACCCCTCTGCCCTATCTAGAGTTTGTGTATTTCTCCCATACTCTCCCTCCCTACCCCATTATGAATCAGCCTCCTTATATCAGAGAAAACATTCAGCATTTGTTTTTTGGGAATGGCTAATTTCACTTAACATTATATTCTCCAGCTTCATCCATTTACCTGCAAATACCATGATTTTATTCTCTCTTATTGCTAAGTAAAATTCCATTGTGTATATATGCCACATTTTTTATCTGTTCATCTACTGAAGGGCATCTAGGTTGGTTCCACAGTTTAGCTATTGTGAATTGTGCTGCTATAAACATTGATGTGGCTGTGTCCCTGTAGTATGCTGATTTTAAGTCCTTTGGGTATAGAACGAGGAGAGGAATACCTGGGTCAAATGGTGGTTCCATTCCGAGATTTCCAAGGAAACTCCTTATTGCTTTCCATATTGGCTGCACCAATTTGCAGTCCCACCAGCAGTGTATGAGTGTACCTTTTCCCCCCACATCCTCACCAACACTTATTGTTGTTCGTCTTCATACTAACTGCCATTTTGACTGAAGTGAGATGACATCTTAGAAAAGTTTTGATTTACATTTCTCTAATTGCTAGAGATGATGAACATTTTTTCATTTATTTGCTGATTGATTGTATATCCTCTTCTGAGAAGTGTCTGTTCAGGTCCCTAGCCCATTTATTGATTGGGTTATTTGGTTTTTTTGGTGCTTAGTTTTTTTTTAAGTTATTTTAGTTGTCAATGGACTTCTATTTTATTTATTTATATGTGGTGCTGAGAATCAAACCTAGTGCCTCACTCATGCCAGGAAAGTGCTCTACCACTGAGCCACCACCCTAGCCCTTGGTGCTTAGCTTTTTGAGTTCTTTATATATACCCTAGAGATTAGTGCTCCATCTGATGTGTGAGGGGTAAAAGTTTGCTCCTAAGATATAGGCTGTCTGTTCACCTCACAGATTGTTTCTTTTGCTGAGATGAAACTTTTTAGTTTGAATCCATCTCATTTGTTGATTCTTGGTTTTAATT